CTATCCTTTTAAAAAGTACAATAATATTTCTATTGCTTTTTCCTGTGCGGTGTTGTGTTTTTAATTTAATTTTTTTTTAATTTTAAGTATTCGGTACTTGTTCATTCGGTTTCTGTATATCAACCGATTTAAAAGTTTGTAAATTTAATAAAATAAAATATCTTATTGGTGGATTTCAAGTAGAGTGGCAAGGTCGCTTCTGCAATGAACTTGACCTTCCACTTTGAAATTCCAGACCGGCCATTTTCAGACCACATATCCAGTTCTGCAGTGAAATATATAGACCATTACGTTTATGTCAGACGAGTCGTTACGTGATTTTAAAGAACAAGTTTCAGCCGAGGGTAGCCACGAAAGTCCGGCAACATAAAGTTTCCGTCGAAAGTCGCTTTCATGTCGAGGTTTTGTGGATGTTGGATTATCTTGCAATTTCGATCACGAACGGTTAATTTTTCAACTTTATCACAGTTACATTTTCCAGTTGTATAAATCTAACACTGTAAATCTGTACTAATAAATATTAGTTATAGTTAAGTTGGATTTGTTTTTGCCAACGTGACAGTATTTAAAGGAGGCTAGAAGGAGAAAAAGATCATGAATAAGCAAGGTGTTACAAGGTAGATCTTACGAAACGTCTAGTTTCAGAGGTATTCCTGCTAGGAAAACACAGACAGACCGGACAAAGATTTTTTTTGGATGATTTCCTGGTTTCAATCCGGATGGATTGGTGCATTTCCTGCCCTTTCTCGACCCCCTTGGAAACGGCGGGTTTAAAGCTAAAGTGAAGGAGTTCACCGACACGACTGTAATTTGCAACGGTGATCATTTCACCTTCCATGTAAAACTGCAATAAACTCCCGACACGTTTTTACTTCTACGATTCAGTTTCGGTCAACTTATTATGATGAGTGAACTTTGATGAAACCTTTAAAATGTCTTGTTAAATATTTACGACGGTCGGGTTTGGCAATAATGAAAGTAAGAATCAATTTGCACGTTGAGCGGAGGATCTAATTATAAGTTGAAATTTGTTTTTTTATCCCCAGGACATGCGAATACGTCGTTAAAAGGTCAAAGAAGTAAGAGTGAAAAATAAATGATTTAATATGAATTTTGAAAAAAAGCCCACTGGTAAGTATGTCGAGTTCGAATGCAGGGCCGCTGGATTAGAACCCGGTACCTTTACCGTGATAAGTACCAGTCAACGCCTTAACCGTTGCGGCCACCGACGCCCCCAATTTTTATAGGTTTGGGCGGTTTCTTTCGCCGTATTTCTCTAAAGTATTTCTTTTTTACGCACTTTTTTTTCATCAGAAAAAGGCATTTTTTCTATTCCATTCGTTTCGACCATTAACCAACAATTTTCATGTGTATATTTATTCCTGCAAAGTATCACTATTTCTACATTATTTTACATAATTATTTATATTTACCATAATTATTTACAAATACCTTATAAAGTGTTTCGTATCCTATTAAAATCGTTAAATAGAAGATATAATTAGGATTGTTATTAGCACAAGTATCTACCGATCATAAAATCTTATTCTATTGTAATTGCTAGCAAGTATTTTACATGTACACTGATGGACAAATTTAAGGCACCACTCAATTTATTTAGTTTAACATTAATTCCATTATCTTTCCACATTAGTTACTGGTAATTAAGTGGGAAGGGAGTCCATAATTTGTAGGAATAGATTAAAAATGATTTTTGGTAATTGCACTATGGAGGCATATACAAATCTAAAACAAAACCACTGGTTGATCTCAATTCAAGCTGACTTCTATATTGAGGTTATCTGGCTTGGATCAAATCATAGAGAAACTAACTCAGAATTTAAAATCTCCCAATTGAACATTAAGCCACTTCAGACGGTGAGTAAGTAATGTGTTCATCATGTCTTGCACCAAAAATGAATCTGACCAAGGAGTTCATAGCTCTCTACAGTTTTGTGCACAAATCTGCTGTGAATCACGAAAGACAAGAGTACAGTAGTCTAAGAAGTGTGGGATCACAAGTGCAGCACCAACTGCTTCCTTAATTCGAATGGTAATATATTCTTATGTAGCTTTAGTTGGTGCATGATGCATTTTCTTAGCCATGTTACTCTCTTGCAAATACCATGAAAGAGTTTTACTAATTGTATCGCCGAGGCACTTTACAGTATCAATGTAAGCCAAATCAGTTTCAAGTACCTTCATTCTACTCAGTGATTTATAATCTTAGGTTTTAACATATTAGGAACTACCAATGACTATCGCCTTCATTTTCTGCACATTAAACAACAGTTTTTATTATAATTAAAATGAGAGAGAGAGAGAGAGAGAGAGAGAGAGAGAGAGAGAGAGAGAGAGAGAGGGAGAGAGAGAGAGAGAGGGAGAGAGTGTGTGTGAGAAATATTGGACAGTGAGGAATCTTTAAGAACCTAGGCGTGAGAAGTGAGAGAAATCTAAATAGTTTGGAGTGTCAAATGAATAAATACACACAAAAACTCACAGGATAATCACTGCAAGGTGAAGGTCCCGGGTTCAAATCCAGTGGCCCTGCTTTCGAACCCGACATACTTACAAATTTTTTTTTTTTTTTTTTTTTTTTTTTTTCAAAAACACCGGCATCCTGAGGGTTTATATGACCTCTGCTGTTGCGAACCCTCAAAAAATAATAATAATAAAGTAGTAAGAGAACATTATCAAAAATGATAGTTACTGTCCTCTACTCTCCTACACTAGGAGGCAAAAAAATTGGCCAAAAAAATAGATTTGGTCCATTTTAACAGATAGAGGTAAATAAAACACAGATAAAAATGTACCATTTGTGTTTACAATAGGATTTTGTAAATAAATCTTTGAATAGTCAATCTCTTCTTTGTTGGTCTTTCTATAAAGCTTCTAATGTTCCGGTGGTTTGATTTTAAAAGATGTATCATTTTTAAGTTTCAAATTGTTTGAGTGATGGTTTTACATGATATAGATTCAGTTAGAAGAACAATTGTTGGAATATGGAAGAAGTCAAGCGATATTGCCATGGTGATTAACATTAACCAGGATACAGGAGGTTATTCAAAAAGAGATGGATCAGGTCTGCATCAAGCCGCATCTTAGAGAGATGTTTGTTTTGTAGTTTCAAATCAAATCAGGTTAAAAACATCTCTACTTTGTGCCATGAAAATAATGAAAGGCAAATGTTATAGCCTGAAGCTTGTTTCCATCGGTCAATTTATGAGGATCCTATATGTGCAATTTCCACGTCTTCCAAATTTGATATAAGCTAGAGTGAATGGTTTCATTGCTCATGATGGACAGTCTGGAGAGCTCCTGACACGTATGACTCAAATGAAGTTTAATAATTGTCATTCAAGACAGAAGGTTCACGACAGTTGATCTTCAATCTCTAGAAGCAAACTGTTTGAACCACTTTTGTACAGTGCATTCAGTTATTGTTTTATCACTGAACACAGTGCAAATTTTACGAGCTGTCTTGGCAGCACAATCGTGGGTTTTGAAGCGTTGAGAAATAAAATGTTTTATAATTTACAGTGAACTGTTCAAGGCACTTTTTCATAACAAACTGATACATTATCCTCTTGATATTACATGATGTAAACACATAATCCTCATATATAATTAGAAATTTTAATTAATGGTATTAAAACAATAAGAAATGAAAAATTGCACAAACTTTTCTAGTTATCTGGTGGTTGACATACATAACAAATCTTTTATCTGTTGTACAGGTTAACTTTAAGTTCTTCCACCTTTCCCAGCTGTACGCAGGAATACATCTAATTCAAATTTTTAAAAAAATTCTTGAACTCCATGAAAATAGTTGATCCAGTTGTCAAACAGAATACAACATGACTGATGTTATTGTCAAGGGAGAATAAAGTAAACATAATTTATAACATTATATTAAGTAAAATAACATTTACATCAGTTGCTTTAGTATAGTTTTTTTTGGATTAAATAAATTTTCCCAAAAAAGCTAAACATTTTGAATATATATTTATATAAATAACACAGACATTACTGACTAGTGGGACCTAGTGTCGTTTGGTCTAACATTTTCTCATTCATTAACAAAATACTTTTTTACATACCTGTATATATATATATATATATATATATATATATATATATTACAATAAGTACAATAACTGTGTCTGAAATGTTATAAGCAATTAGTTAGTCATGATTAAAATATTTAACCTTTTTTTAAACAAGTGCGTTATACATAAAACATGGGACATCGTATTTTTATTTATGGTCCTGGGTCTGGGAAAGTTTTAAACGAAACCAGTGATTACAAATTAGTATGTTTTATGATGACAATGATGACAGTAATTTCAAAAAATACAGCTAAATAATGGTGGGTACAAAGTTAACAATGATCTAAGTGATCATTTATTTTTTTACAAACAATTTTTTGTTTAAAATTACTTTTTACTTACTGCAAACTGTAGCAATATTGAAATAGTTACATATAACTTTTATAAAACAAGACTGTTCAGTTTATCTTGGTAGTCAAGTACATTAACTAAAATTAATTCATGGAATTTTATAAAAAATAAAATAAATATCAATATTAGGTGAGAAAGAAAGCAATTAGAACAAATTTCATACTTGTTTCTTCCAGCCCAGATGATACATTAAAACATTTAATATATCATTATTTTTGTTAAGGTTTTGGGATTAAGATTTCTGTGGGTATGTCTACAATTGTATGGTAGCAACATATTCACAATAAATAAATCCAAGCCACAGTTTTATCACAATTAGAGAAATAGTTCATTTTGAAGCCTTTTACAACTTGCTCTTAGAGAAACCTGGCTTCCAATTTTCATGTTTTGTGCTCTTTTCACACGTAAAAATCCATATGTGAAACTTTCGTTACTTGTTTACAATTCAAAGTTAAAACGGTTTTACGTGGAATAATCAGAAAACAGTAATAAACTGTAGAGGGGTTCGTTACGAAAGTAAATTCTCTAAGGCATCCTTTCCTATACATTTAAATCAGCCATCATCCGCCTGAAATCAGCAAGCGTGTTGTAATCAGGATCGGTGTCAATGTCGGCAAAGTCCTGGTTAGAATCCGACTTGTTGAAACTAGGGTTGTACCTGGAGAGTGACAGTGGACATGGCAGCAGCTCCGGCATGACCGAATGGTGGGTAATCAACGCAGTGAGACTTGGAAACTCCTTTGTGAAACCCTGTAATTGACAAAAAAAAAAAAAAAAAAAAAAAATTACACTGGAAACATAATTATATGCTGCAATTTATTATTCAAGTCAAAATATTACATATAAATAATGATGATGCTGCCACCCCCTTAGGTGACTCAAATTACTGAGTGATAATAATAATAATTAACAATCACGGATTAAAATCTATTGAACTGTCATTGGAGGTTTGCCACACCGGAGGCTCTGTTCTCCCAAAATCACAGCGGCCGAAATGAAGAAGAAAGCTTGACATATACAGACCAGGTGTGCGCTAGACATTGGTGCAAGGGAACGCCCAAAACTATATCTCTAAGATTGGTTTATTTTAATAGATATACCCTTATTATTTGGCAAAATTTTGTTTTATAATTTCATTTAATTACACCTTTCTCCCCTTCAGAGAGAAAGGGCCCTTAGATGTTGATCATAACAATGCCTTAAACCAACTGTTTGTGTTTACTGTTAATTATTTTGTGTTAAAAGCCATACATACTTTTTAAAACCATATGTATTATATTTTACTCGTGCTTCACAATATGATTATATATAAGAATCCAACACACATGTAATACAGTATATTATGAAAATATGTATAAATATTTTGTTAATATGTATTATCAATGAAACCCTCACACTAACATGATGTTATTGGCCACCTGAACCATTTTGTAGCATAAAAAAATTGCCAAAAACATAGATGAAGAATAAGTCATTGATATGCTGGGATTGTATCCATGAGAGAAGCATGCAAAAAAAATCTATTAAAAGACCAATGCAGAAACTAACCACAGATCTAATAAATCTAGGATTTGCTAGCATATATAGTAGACTCAGAAAGCATTTGTAATGACTTGGAGCAACATTAACAAACCTGAGCAGATATTGCCAAGAAGAAGGAACGAGACAGTGGAACATGTCCTCTGTTGGTGTAAAGGTCTATTACAGCTGAGAGTTCCGCTCTTGGAAGCTAGAGCCTGAAAGATAATGTAGGAACCCTTAACAAAGCCTTGGGATCTGATAAATAGCTCAACAAGAAGCTCCAGATTATAATGGTGATTGCACAATAGATGTTGCCTCCTTTTAACTTTAGAATGTGATGTTTAATTTTTAAACATTCTACATACATTTAATATCCATTGTACAGGTTAGCCCAACAGATATTTTCATGATCTGTCTACTTTCTCATAAGTTTATCTGTCACAAATTTTACATTACAGACAATTATAATGCATAATGGTAGATATTCTGTTCCACTCTACTGAGCTATACTCATAAATTCATTATGACTTAAGCCATAATTTTTAATAGTAGTAAATCCCATAGCCACATGGGATTGCATCGGGGAGCCTTGTCAGACACTGCAACGAATTTCCCATTTTATGGGCAACAGGGCAGAAAGGCAATGAAGAAGCCAATAAATTGGCCAAAGAAAGTTTAATTAGGACACTTATTGACCCTGAACCCTTTTGCAGCATGCCAAATTGTGCAAAAAAGTAAATCCATCAGGCAATAGATTAAAAATAAGTGATTGGTTCAATGAGATTTATTCAAGGACAGAGGTATGTGAAAAAGTTTATCGCAGGACCATTGCAGAATCAGAACTACATAAACTAGGACGTGTTAGCCTTAGAATATGAGGACTGCTGACTGGACACTGCACATTCCGGAATCCGGAGGCAGTATACACTCGGAGTTGAAGAAGAAACTGCGAAACAAGTGTGAAAGCATATGTAGGATAACTGCGGTTCTAAAAATGAAACCAGATTGAAGAGGGGAGGTTGGTGCCCCCGAAATAGATATCGATATAATAAAATAATATTTTGAAATGGTTGTAAGTTCCTGAAAAAAAAGATCTTAAAACAAGAGAACAACCAAGAAGAAAGAAAAGAAGTATAAATATGTAGGATGAGATTCCCACTCTTGGGAGAAAAGCTTGAGCTTGAAGAATACACAAGGGAGTCTTTGTATTGGGATCTGGTAAAAAGCCTTAAGCTCATTGAGAAGCTCTAGATAATAATTCAGATTTCACATTGGTTGTGCTGTGCAAGTTCATTAAAAGGCCAACTTCTGTTAACTTTAAACTTAACCTTAGAGTGTGATGTTTGATCATTAAACATTCTCCTTTCATTTAATATTCCTTGAACAGGTTAGCTCACTAGGTATTTTCAGGGCCTGTCTATTCATCAGTTCGGATGTCACTTAAAAGTGTCTCTGATTAAACAATTTTCAGTGAGGAACTTAATTAAAATAAAAAAATAATAATAATAAACTTCAACTTCACACTCAAACAAACTTCACTACCAACTTTGGGTATTTTCACTTTTTAGGAAATTTATTTGTGGATAAGAGGAAGCAAAATAATCATGTTAAAGATGTGGAACTCTTATCTACATAGATATACAAATAAATTTGTAAAGTAAGTGATATTACAGAATTAAATTATATCTAGTTGTTGTTCATAGTAATATATAGTTAAATTTGTCATGACAAAGAGTGAATCAATAAATTTTTCACAATCTGGTGAGATTATATGTATGGAACAGTCATTAAAGTGGACCTAATCTATTTTACCTTGTACAGGTTAGCTTCACGCTCTTTCACCATTTCAAATTATACATCTACAAAATCCATAGTTTCACTTCTAGCCCTGTTAATGAAAATTTATAATCTGAAGAAAATGAGCGTTAAGCTCTAAATTTTTAAAGGATTGACATCACAAATACAATGACAGAAATTACTAAGAAGTCATCCATACATTAATCTTTTTCTTATTGCTATTGCTAAGCCCTATTTTAATCATTTGAATATAAGTCTTTATAAATGAAGTTAATCTGCCTTAAATGTTAGATAAATTCCTACAAAGAAGGATTTCCTTTTTTACTCCGTTGAGAACAAAACCAATAAAACATAATTGTATTACTTCTTAGCATTGTTTAGTAAAGTAGTCCCCTTTTTATTTCAACTTTGATAAAATTACCTCCCAAGAAGTGCGGTCTATGTTTTACAGACAAGGTGTCCACTGCATTTTCCTATTCATTCTCGGCAGAAAACGGCCTCTTTCAGACGGGGCGGCTAGTTGATTCAACTAGTTGAACGGACGGGTGTCAAGGAGTGTAAGCAGGTAGCAAAATGTTTGGGATTCGGCCCAACCCCTTCACTTGCAGTTAACTCGTTCGCCCAGGCAGGTGGCCAGCAGGCACAAGTTCTCATCCCCACTGGTTGACTCAACAGAAAAGACACTTGCTCGGCATTCGTCCTTCACACCAGTCGTCTCGTTGAATCAACTGAGTTCACCATGGAAAAAGTTGCAATTGCTGCAAAGTTTCAATGTGGAGTAATTCATTGAGGAAATTCGTATTAATCCCGCGATATGAGACATGAGGTGTGAGGAGTTAGCGACAAAATTAAAAGATGCGAAGCTTGGAGAGAAGTGGCACAACAGTATTTGTGAAGAGCGGCCGTATACCGGATAAACCCACAGTTTTCTTTATTAGGTTTCGTCCTTTTTTGCTTCTCTTTTTGCAGAAAAGCAAGCACAAGAAGTGCTCCTGCTTCATCGGGTTCTAACATCGTACTGACATCCCGTTGGGAAGAGAGGTTGATTCCACAAGTTGCCTGGTTTGAAATCAGCAAAGAAGGGTCTTCACACGACAGAAAACTAGTTAATAGTCAACAGGGCAACTTAGTCGTATCAACCAAACCGACTCGTCTGAAAGAGGCCACTCATCGAAAGTAATTTTCTCATTTTACCCATTGTTTGTTAATTATATTAAGAATTTAATTAATTTAATTTCAAAGTTTTAGTTTAATTTACTTTTTAATTTAATTATGATAGGCACATGACTTAAACAATGACCATTACCTTTATTTTATATCCTTTGTTTGTTCTGATTATGAGGTAATGAGCTATTCCCAAAGGCTGGAATTCAAGTGGAACTCGCAGGCTGAGAGCGAAACATCCGGGTTTACTTGTACTCTCCCTAACCATGAACGAGCCGACGGGCTCCTGACCGAGGACTTCCAGTGTGATTTCCCTGCAAAAACAAATTGAAATTAAAAAAAAAACAAACAAATAATATCTTGACAAACTAGGTGGAACATGTATGTGAACCTAGGGATTCCAGCTTGGAACCAAGGTGCTGTTTTTAGTTCACCCTCCTCCGGCCGGTTATTAAGCGAATCTGTCCTTTCGGGAGGAGGTGGTGGAGGTGTCGATGTTGTGCTCCCACTGTTTCGTTTACATTCAGGGCTTTCTGAAACTCTAGAAAATAAAACATAAAAAATAATTAAATGACCATTAAAGAACAATGCTTATCTTAAAAACTAAACTTTCTGTGGCATAATTATTTCACATAATAATAATAAGTTTATTTCTAAAACATAAGAATCAGAACTTTTGAAATATTAGTTTTTTACCTCTCCATGTCATTATGATAAGACTCAAAAGACACACACACATATCCTCATACAAAATAGTAAAAGCAACGTGAAAACTCATGTCACAACACAATAACTTTATATACATTTATATATGTAGTTTTATTTTATTTATGTCTTTTGGTCAATAAACTTCTCACACACACAAACACACACACACACACACATTCACTCACTTTTTATAACACAAACCTGAATATTCTGAATGTTTAGAGAATTTATGTATATATGGTAATTAACAACAGAATATTAATATAGGTCAATGTCATAAAATACAGCTAAAAACTGTACTAAATGCTTTAATAAAAGACAATTAATTAAGGTTTTTAGTTGAGATGAAAAAAAACTAATGGCACGAGAGGGATTCGAACCCACGACCTTCGGCTAGATACGCCGCTGCTCTACCACCTGAGCTATCGAGACCTCGATCCACTCGGACATCAACTCCCCATCTCAACCCCACCTTATGAGTTTTCCCTCCTTTTGCCATTTTTCATTTGCCATTAGCTTTTCTTCATCTCAACTAAAAACCTTAATTAATTGTCATGTATTAATTGGTCAAGCGGACCACGAAAGTAGTGAATTAATGCTTTAATAAAAGTTATATTAAAAAACCAACTAGGCTGTACAGTATAGGGTTGATTTATAATGGGCTAAATGTTTTAAGGTTAGAACCGTTAATTGTTAAAAAATATTGTATTGTTGCACATGAAAATAATTGTATTTATCAGTTCACCAAATTGGTAATAATCAACTAGTTTTAATTTTAATCGTTTAATGCATAATGTGTGTGTGTTGTGTTTAATGACCGTTAGTTAATGATTATTCGGAGATCGTGAAATGCGGTCTGGTGTAACGCCAGTGGCACTCTCAACACGACACACAAGAATGACATGATTACGCAGAAAACAAACACTTTGAGCCCTGAAGATGATCTCAATAAAGATCGAAACGTTGGCGCGATAAAAGAAACGTTTTTCTAAAAACGTCACACCAGACCGCATCTCACGATCTCCGAATAATCATTAGCTAACTATCATTAAACACCACACACACACACACACGCACGCGCGCGCGCGTTACGTAATAAGACCAATTATAAAAGCCCATTTTTGTTTTTATTCCCTTTACTGGTCTTATCACAATTTGTAGAAATAAAAACACAAAAAGGACTAATGGACTATATCCCATATCATCTAATACTACAAAGAAGACCATAATACTGGTCATTCATCAAAATTAACTTGAACTGGTCGATACCTTCTCTTCAATAACTTGAAAGAATTATAAAAGCGTAAGTAATAAGTAAAAAAATTTTAAAAACCAGAATTAGATTGTTTTCTTACAAGGTTTTAAACATTTATGTTTATTCTTGAGGCCTGCTAGTAATTTATTGAAAATTACAAAAGTTGTTACTAAGTACATATATGTTCGGAAAGTCCAAACTCTTCTGTCCTTGTGACTTCTGCAGACAAACTCAAATCTTTGCCTTGCCAAAGGCAGGCAGTTTATTGTTCATACTTAAACTCTCTTCTTATTGTTTTCCATTATGATGTTCTCTTGTAAGCAACGAAGATTGGGATAAAATATTTATTTTTCTATATTTCTATAAATTCACGAAGCTCTATAATATTTGGTTGTCATCTCAAATCACATTAATGGAAATAATGTTAAAAATTAAAATAAAGACTAATTAAAAATTATAATACTAATTAAAATTTTCTTCTGTTTAAATTATAATGGCTGGATTCCCCGTTTTTCTTTAAGAGATTAGTGTGGAATTTCATCATAATTAACTGCACAGGAGACGAGAGGCATGGAAAAAAGCCGCCTTTTAAAAGGCTATCGAAAAAAAAATCCAACGTGATCTTTAATAATTTATGAAGTCTATTTATGAGGAACGCAGGGAGAACAACGCGTGCGAATTTATACAGACTGGACAGGAATTCCTGGATGTGCCTCGCCCAAGCGTGGAAGTGTCGGCAGTTTCAATGATGTATAAACTTCATTTCCTGCTCGGCTGACTTATTCCTGATACAGAGACGTGTTAAACTGGCTGTGGGTTTTATCACAAACGGTTTAGCATTGCACACGAAGCAGCCTTAACCATGTTTTATGTTTAAAACCATGTTTTATGAGTCAGGATATAACACATAAACAAGAGGACGAGGCGTGTTTGGCTCTGGCAAATCCAATTTAACACGGGACACCGTGACGTAGCAATAATCGTGAAATCGTGACCTATTTCTCTTCCATCTGGTTAAAACCTTGCATACCGGAAAGTAACATTTTTCCTTTATTTTCCTTCTACCTTTGTTCCTTTTCCTTCATGTATTGTTTCCTTCCGCAACTGTTTGCTGCGAATAAAAGCTTAAAAGCCTTCGGACCGATCGATCATATTTGCTCTTAGCTTTCGCATTTAATATACAAACATCTAATTCAATTGAAAGCTGAACATTACAATGTCTTCTCAATCGAGCAAGTATTTATGTCTTGAAATAACATGTAAACAAGAGGACAGGATTTGCTTGTCTTGAGCAAATCCAATTTAAACGCAGTACACCTTGATGCAGCGATAATGATGATCTATTAACCATACGTCTCTCTTTCTCATTCTTATTTTCTCTTTCCTTTCGCAAATATTTACGGCTGATTAGATACCGGAAATGTGTCGAATGATCATTTCAACCGACAGTTTGACCTTCTTTTCAATCTCTTAAGTACGGCGTCCGTTGAAATTACTAAGATACCCAAATAGTGGAGGAATAAAACGGGTCAGACGGTGCTAATGCAGCAGAGGATTTACACACTGACTAAAGATAATTGGCAAAGATATGAAAGTTTTCTTTAATTTTCCCTTCCACTCACAGATCTTGAAAGCGGATGGTAGTTAGGAGATAGGTTGACGGATAACCAGGTAAACGGCTAGTACACACTGAGAAAATTAAAAATTCTGATAGACTTATCCGATTTTGTTTTCTCTCATAAATATTTCATCAACTGGAGCCAAGCCCATTCGTTCACCAAAAGAGATGACCCTCAGCTCAACAAAAAATTTAGTTTAAATATCTCGAACAACAGATTCATTATTCTTATCCCCAATTCAAAATTAATAGAATAATTTTACAACAATAGGAACTTCTGTCTACTAATTTCAACATGGTCAGTAAAAAACAAATTAAAAATTTTCAAGATGCGCGGTTGCGAAAAAACGTTTATTTTCAACGTGCGAATTTTAAATTACAATGAACATCCACACAAAACTTCCTCACATCAAATTGAATAAATTTCTTGGTCAGTAGTAGTAGTAGTAGTTTGTAGTTTTTGATATGTTGATCGATAACCTACCGTTTTTTGTTAATTTATGAGTCTTTTTGCCCGGCTAGTCACGCTAATTTCTTTACTTTTATTCCATCATTTGTATATGTTTTATTGAACAGCCTTTTTATATCATCTCTGGGTCAGTCTATCGTCACCCGTTTTTGAAGTATTTCAAAGTATCACATGGGCATTTTCTATTCCAGAGACTTTATAATATTTGAACCAGTCTACTGTTGATGGTATTGGTCATTTTGATAGTCGTAACAGAATAATTTGCTTTGTATTTTTCAATGATCATTTGCCTTTAAGTTACATCATAAACACATCTTTCTATCGGTCTAGTCTCGTTAGTTTTTGTTTCATTTATCTTGATCGGTTTAATATTTCCAGTTTTGGATTTCGAATGTTATCACAACCAACAATTTTTAACATTTTTATTTATTTTATTTTATATTTTATTCAGGGCTACTCTAGTCTCACCATTTTTTAGTATATACAGGTTTATAGCCTATAGATATAAACAAAATGATGTGTTTTTCCAAAGTTTGTTTATTTTTGTTATTTTGATTTGTTATATAAATTTGTTAGTTTTGACAATTTTAAAGTCGAATTGCGGCATTGATTTCAGCGGAAAAAAATCCTTTAAAATGATGTGTCGGCAGTGTAGGGCATCTTTAAATTTAAAAGCTTCAAAGCTCAACTCAGTTCAACTTGTGATATATTCGACAGTGAGAACTACGTCCGAATCGTTCAATCTCGCTTGTTTTATCGATTAAATAGCTGTCACTACCACACTTGTTCGTACTTCGCATTGTACGTTTTGTGAGTGCCAAAAGTTTATTTAGAAATACTTTTTTTTACTTTGCCAAAGCGGCTTTTCACTTAGCTACTTATCTGTCTCGAGTACAAGCCACTCTATTGAACTCCTTACGATAAAACTATTTTTAGCCTTTCTGTATTGAAATTCCCTTATACCCTGATAAGAGAACGTAATATTTATTTCTGAAAAGGCGATTCTTACCTGTTGTTGTCGATGTCTATGTTTTTGGTAGTGTTAATTATATAAGACGGGTGTTTGTTTATAACGAGTGGCGCCTCCTCTTCGTTGGGGGTGGTTCCAAGCCCCATGGCCAGCCTTTTGACGAGCACTGGCTTGTCGACCAGCCTTCGGCAAGAGTTCAGTTCAGTGGGCGAATTGCTCTCATCCGAGGAGGTCGGCGAAGGTGCGCCACCTCCGAGTTGTGAGCACAGGCCACCGCCGGTCTTTAGGCCGGGTATCGACGAAGGAGGGCAGATTCCGCTCATCCCTCGACCTGGGATCGCTTTGGGCTGAAAATAAGAAAATTACATTATTCACAAATGCTAGATTAAATTCGCAATTAAGAGCTTGATAGTGTAAGATAATTGGTGGTCGCAGCCACGGAAATCTCTCTGGGGCTGACAATGTATTTCATTACCGAAGCAAATAAGCATTATTTATTAAAGATCATAAATTTCTTAAATGGCTGCATTTAAAGAAGTTATGCAGAGAGGTAAATGGGAAAATCAATAAAAAAGAAATTACATACGAATAATGTATTGTTCTGGGGCCTTTCTTGACCTAAGCCACGCTTTTGATCTTGTTTTGCACCCGGGCTTGCTTTCTTGCTCAAGAGCATCCTTCCGTCCACCTACTATCTCATACTGCACTGGTACCTCACAGACCGATTTTTCCAAACCATCACATTCACATTTACAGACAATATGGCACTAACAACTCCGATCCATAGTTTCCACTAAAAAACTCCAACTACACCTCACACTACTAGACTCTTGGTATAAAAAGAAAATGATAAAATTTATCATAGACAAATCAATGCACATTGCTTTCCCTATCCATAAAAATATCTCCTCTCCAGTTTACATAAATAATTCTCTAATAATATAACCTTTCCCAACTGCGGACAAGGTGCGGTAGGGGCACATCGACAAACGCCTGACGTGGAATCCTCACACACGATTGAAACGTTAGGAGGTTATGACACGATACAGAGCTCTTCTTGCACGACTTCTGACAAACGTTCTAATGTACCGCTCAAAAATAAAAGGCTGCTTTACAGCTCCATTGTTAAGCCGATATGCACTTCGGACTAGGAATGTGGGATTTAGCCAAACATTCCAACATCTGTCGCATTCAAACAGTTTGTTCATCATCAAAGCAATTGTTTGATAATATAATGGAGTTAGGATCGATCGGATAAGAATTGGTCCGCTAGCACTCGCTTTTCTTGATAATTAAAAGTATAAGAACCTCTTAGTCCGACTTCTTTATTTATTTAAAAATCGAATCAGCAATTTTTGTATTTAGAAGCAACTCTGTTGCTTAAATTGCTCATCATGTTTATTGATTTATTTATACCATTGAATTGGTTAGGATGTAATCTTCGATGAAATACAACAGTAATAAAACAAAATAAAACAACGAAAAATCCAACTTCAAACTTAATTTGCAGAGAAGTTTTAGAGATTGATTGATTTTATAATGGAGATTTTGTTAGTAATTCAACCATTCGTACTCACTTAATTTTTTGTAACTCGACTAAAAATAAATTATTCACGTTAGGTAAAGTGTTGTAGGTTTCTTTTTCTACGGATATTAGGTTAAAAATAAATTATTAGATAGAAATATATAGAAATTCATGCTCATTGGATATTATTTAATACTTTATAATTAAATGAAATATATATTTCTCATTAATTGATTCAGTCTTTTGTTGTTGAATTAAACCAGAAAGGTTCTATTCAACGATTAACCTAATGAAAATTCGAAACGTTCTCCGAGCTTCTGCAGACATAATTTTGCACGCCGCAACATCCACGACATGAGCCATCCCATACGGAATGTTTGCACATGTTGCCACGTGTTGTCCCATTTCTACGTCAGAACCTGTTTAATTATTATGACTTCTGTTATTACACATCTACCGTTGTGCAGTCCTTTGTTTACAAGTTTTAAGCATTTGTATCAAAATAATTCGATCGAAACTTTTTTTTACATGTTTACTTTACTATAGTAAAAAAGCCGAAAACTATTTTGACTAAAGAACTATTTGACTACATTCTATATCAAAAAATATATCAAAGATGAATGACATGAAATAATTTTTTGTGTTTTCTTTGGCTTTTCATGAACAAAAACAATAAGAACAGTTTGACTTAATTACATCATTAAATACTCCAAAGATAAATGACATGAAATAGTTTTAGTTTTTCGTCTTTCCACGAACAAAAACAAAAAAGAACTATTTGACTACATTCCACATCATCAGACTTCAAATCATACTCCAAAGATAAATAACATGAAATACTTATTTGTCTTCCCACAAAAAGCAACAAGAGCTATTTGACTACATTCCACATTTCTTTAAATGATTCCAAGATTAATGATATGAAATTAAGCGTTAAATAATAAGTATAAATGATTAATGTAAGCGTACATGGGCAGCTGTTATATGCAAATATCCAGGTAATGTACTTATTTATATGCAGTTTGTTCGTTTCCTATTTAAATCTATCAGACCCGATTCGGCATTATAATGGCCATAGAGAAGGATTTTCGCTGCCTCGCCCTGCTTATACCCTGACCAACTCGTGTAAACCTGAACAAGAAATCTCACAATTTATATGCATGCCTAAATTTTGTGTTTTGGTCTATACTGAATCCATTTAAATATAAATACCCAGATAACGAGATAAATACATATATTTTGATACAATTTGCCTTACCCCCTTTTTTTGTTTTGTTTGTAGAATGTCGAATTATATATTCTTTGTTATACTGTACAAATCAATTCAATGATTTGGGACGTTTAGTACTACAATGCATTAGCTATATGGCAAATTGTTTTAAAAATATTTTATTTGCTAAAAGCATTGTTTTATTGGCTTTGCACGCCATGTCAAATATCATTCAACAAAACGTCATTCGTTCGCGACGAGTAATAATAAAGATTTTGTTCTTTTATGTGAAGAAAAACACGTTATCTCAAATTTTGTACACACTTTTCTACATGTGTAGAATATCATTTTTATTTACCTTTGTTTTAATCTTAGTTTAGCTAAAATTCAAAAACGGCCAAAACTATTACAATTCTGCTAAGCTTGTCGCTGTATAATGCAACATTCGTCGAACTTCTACGTTGCATAATTAATTATCAACCGATTCTATTCTTGGGATGTGGGTGGCAGTACGGTTTGTTTTACAATTCTATTGTTAACCAGTAGAAATGTTTATAACCGGCATTTCACAGCGAAAGGGTTAAATCCCAAAATGAATAATTATTACTCTGAGCATGCAGCTGTTGTGAAACCCAAATTTCCCTTTTATTTTACCAACATTGACAGCTGTTGGGAATATTATATTGTCAGTGGGCTGAAAAATAAACACATTTTGTTTAAAATGTACAGTATAACTAAGGATACATATTTCGACATTATACAAACAAAACAAAAAACGTTAATTTTCAATAATGCAGTTAATAATATTTTATTGAGAATACGTGATTCAATTTATATTATGACTATTTAAATCACAGTGAAATTTCTTACTGAGTTTTGCATGGTGAGAAACATTTATATTAGTAATTTCGTGTCATCATTGATCTGCCAATCCTTGCTGTTTTAATCTGTCAGAATGTTTCTGCATTTCTATAGAGCAGCGTTGTAGCCGAAAATGATTCTTTATGCTATAATTCGATATCATTTTCATTTTTTATTACTTAATCCTTTAAAATGGGTGGAAATATGTGTACATATGCAAAACTAAAACGTTTTGACTTTATTGTTTAATGATATGCGTAGTAAAGGTTGAATTCCACGATGGTTAGACAAAATTCAAAAGGTTTTACCAAATTCCCGAATAAAGTGTGGTGTGTGTTGAGCGTGTATGTGTATGTTATGAGTGTTTCTCTCTTGTTTTGGCTGAACTAAGAAAATTTGAGAAAGATTTATAAAACTGTTGCTTGTTATAAAGTTATCTTTTATTTTATATCATTTTATTCAACGGAGTATTTTTGAGTAGTCCATTTGTAATTTGTTTGTGACGAAGTGCGAATCAATTAATGCCCCCCACCGAAGGTGGACATCATTGAATAACCCATATTTGGATGTTTTCTCTTTTGTACCTCGGAGAAGCGCAGGCTAAACGAGCTCTTTTGAGCAATTATCAACCGATCGGTCTGGCCCATTGAAACCCGTGAAACGGTTCGTTAGGCAGAGTTTGCGCCCGTGGGGACGGCAAAGAAGCATTGCTTTCCCGATCTCTCAACATTTATATGTGTGTGATGAGACCTCATTTATATCATTGATGAATTTTATTAGCGGAGATCGGCTTTTGAGATCAGTCGGAGACATTATTTAAGATAATGTAATGTCCGGCCCCCGGTTGTATGCCGCCACTTAAAATGGATGTTTACAACGTTACGTCTTCTAAAGAGGTTTTTGTAATGTGTTTTCGGCTTCTGGATATGACCGGAATCTCCCACGTCTCTATGAATCTTGTTGCCGTCATGGACTAGCACGGACCTAGGTAAATCTACAATCAGAATTTTTCTCCAGAAATGTATAATCACCGATATTTGTACAACGATATTTAGCGAAAAATATCTCTTGTGTACAGAGGAGGAAAGGAACTAGAATTTTTTATTTAAATAAGTGATAAGAGAGGTAATATAATTAAGATTAATTACGTAAAAGTGAGGAGACTTTCACACCATGAGAGATACATACTTTATCGCAGTAATGGTTAAAAATAACAATCAAGGTACTGATTAAACTAAAATCTAAATCTGCCTAAAATTTCTATCATTCTATTTTTTACATCTTTTTTCACATCTTACATATATAGTTTAAACAATTTTTATAAATCCCAGTCCCTGAAGATGATCTCAATAAAGATCGAAACGTGCCACGATAAACAGTATGCTTTTCCTAAACCTATGCCACAACAGACCGCATCTCACCAACTCCAAATAATCATTAATTAACGGTCACTAAATACCACACAGTACTGATTAAACGTTGATTAAAATTTCAATTAATCAATATTTTTGATTGATTTATTTTTTGTTATTTTTTAATTAATTTGTTTTGTAATTTTTTATTACCATTGTTTTTATTATTTTGTTTTATTTTGTATGTTTTTTGTTAATGGAATGGCTGGAAGAGCTAACAATTAATTTAATTTTTTTTTATATTTTTCTAAAATTGTTTTAATATTTTTTTTATTTTCAATTATTTTTTAATAGTTATTCAGATATCGTGAGATGCGGTCGGGTGTGATGTAGGTTTCAGAAAAACATTTTCTTTATCGTGCCAATGTTTCGATCTTTTATTGAGATCATCTTCAGGGTCTGGGATTTACAAACAATGTTTACATTTAACAATTACATTTAGGATGTGGAAAAGTGAATTTATACAATGCAAAATATATTTTATATTCAAACAAAGTATTTCTACTGACTCAAAGTGTTTGTCTTCTGTGTAATTGTGCCATCCTTGCGTGTCGTGTTGAGAGTGCCAATGAGATTTTTTTTAATGTGTGGTGATTCGTGACCGTTAATCAATATTTATTTACAAATCGTGAGATGCGGTCTGGTGTGATGTAGGTTTCAGAAAAACA